TCCTGCACAAGAGGGAAGGAAACAGGAGCTTTCAGTCAGTGGTTTGTCACCACAGCATGGAATTTGCACAACTCACTGGTGTTGGTCCTGTCAGGGCTTGGAGGTGGCTCTGTGGGAATCACTGGGGATATCAAAAGCACCTGAGGTTCTTTTCCGACATTCTGTGGATATTCTCTCCTCTCCCTGGGATAGATGAGTAAGGAATGTGGTGGCAGCACCTCAGTTGTAAAAAGAAACAGCATTCAGTGTGGTGGAATGAACTGAATCAACAGCTGCAATTAGTTCCACGCTTCTTGATGAACTCCTTGATGAACTTCCTCCGTGTGTAGCACATGGGAGACATCCATGGAAATCCTGTCCTTTGGGGTGGAACCTGGCAGCTGTTCCACAGGCACTGCTCTGCACAGCACAGAAACCAGAAAAATGCTCCTGCCACTCAAAACCACAGGGGAAGCTTGATGGGGGAAATAAAATTATCAGGGCTGGCTTGTGGCCAGGGAACTGCTTGGAACTCTGCCTTTCTCCTGCAAAACCACTGCATTGTGGCAGTCCTTTTCCATTCAAAATTATGGGATATTGGAGGGCTCTATTCCTATTAGCTTGTCAGAGAAAAGGACAAAAATTTATCTGAATGATGATTGACAGAGTGTCACTTGTTGGGAGAAGGGAGGGACGCCAAGCTAGCACAGCAAAGCAGGGAGCAGGAATTCTGCATTCACCTTGCAGCCATGGCAGTGATGTGGGAATTCTCTCAACAAGTGCATCCTGAACTTTTCCTATTTTTCCCAGAATTCTTCCTCTTCTGCCTAGAATTACTATTCTTCAGCTGTTCCTGATAAACCCTCAGCAAACTGAAGGTGTTTGCCTGGAGAGGGGCAGGGCTGCTGCCCATCCAGAAGCTCCAACTGAGCCCAGAATTCCATGGAGCTGGGTGTAATTCCATCTTTTAGATCCCTTTGATAGACAGGAATAATCAGCCAGGCAGTGCAGTGGGAATGATCTTCCACCTTCTGCTGCAGATTTTCTTTTCTAGCATGACAAATGTTGTTCCAATGCTCTTTTGGGTGTTTTTTGTTCATTTGCTCTGCTGTCACCCATTTATATTCAGTGCTCTTGATGAACACAGGGAGCTGAAAGTGAAGAGGAAAAGCTTTGATGAAGGGAGGGTGCTCCACTTGTAACCAGACACAGATCTGGACAGTCTATGTCTGGTTTAAACAACTTAATTGCTTCAAGTTTTGCTTAAACCTCTGAGCTCTTGCAGGAGCTCCCAGCTCCTGGTTATCATAAAAGCAAGATCACGTTAGACAACTTATTTAAGCTCTTAAACTCCTGGGTTTATTTATTTATTATTATTATTAGTATTCCTCAGGGGCAAAATTTTCACCTCAGAGGATGTGTTTAAATTAAGAGTGCTTTGTGGGGAAATGCCTGCAGACAGCACAGCTTGGAACTTTTTTTGTGAAGGTAAACATGGAAATGTCTGCACTGGCCAATGCTTTATCATGACTTGTGCTTCTGATTTACTCCTGGAAGTGTTTATCTAGGATTTAAAAGCTGCTTGGGAAAAGGGGAGATACTGATACTGATATCTTGAGTTCAAATATATCTCAGGTTGAGGTCTGGAAATGAACTGATTCAAGTTTAAAGTGGTTTATTTTCCTCAGTGCAGCTGGAAGATCAGGAATGGGTAATTCCTGCAGCCCTCTCCCCTTCAGCACACAGATATCTGAGGCTATTTGTGGCTCTAATCCCACTGCAGATCAGTAAGAAATGGATTCCCAGTGCTTTATCCTTGAGGAAATCACACTCCAGGGGTGGCATTCACCAGGAGATGCTTTGCTGCAGTGGATTTTGCACTCCCAAGGTGACCTACGATCTCCTGCAGAATCAGTTCTGCCTTGCCAAGGCTTTTTCCTCCAGGAGCAGGGAAATGCTGGAGAGCAAATATCCTGAAATATGGGAAGGATTGGTCTTGTTGGGTCCTCCTGGAGTCAGGTGTTGTCCTCAGCAGGAAGGTTTAAAGGACATTTTTTCCTGCTCCCAAATACCTCGGGCCAAGGGCTTGTTCTGCATCTCCAGCCCAGAGTGTGAAGGCTGAGGGGATGAACAGATCTTGCCTACACCCACTTTTGGGCTTTTTTTTCTTTATTTTTTCTTCTTTTCATCCCTTGGCTTGATTTTTGTCAGCAAAAGCGCTTGCCCAGAGATTTCTCAGGGAATGTTCCAGGCTCAGACACATCCTTGCATCTCCATAACACCAACACACTTCCTAAACATCTCCCTTTAACTTCCCCACCTGGAAGAAAGCAGCCTTAATTATCAAGTTATTAGGAAAGCTGGTGGATTTTTTTTTCCTTTAGTGTTTCCTCTGTTGCTCCTGCTTTGGTGATAAGAGTTTGAATAATGCAGCTGACTCCATGTGGCGCTGGAGAGCTGTTTTGTCTCCAGGCAGTTCCTTTTTGACAGCGTGTGTGTGTGTTTTCCTCCTTGTATTTATGGTTTATGCTCCTAGGAGTAATTCCCTGCATCCTGAATGCCAATTCCCTCCTCTCCATCCCCTTGTTTAACAGCCAGTATCCCTCTTATCATTGTATTAGAATTAGTCTTTAATAAATGAACCAGTTAAGAGTTGGAATCTCTCCTGCTTTGCTTCTTCCACAGCTAAAAGTAAAGGGAAGCTGAGACCTTTGTTGCCTCTTAGTGAAAGGTATTGATCTATATCATTAATTGAGGATTTATTTAATTAAAGACCTTATAATCACAGTGTTTAAAGAGACTCAGCCAAGTGATGAGGTGCCCAGGGGGTTGGTGATAAAGTCACACTGGTCACCTCCAGGTCAAGTCTAATTTCTGTGGATCATGGCCAGAAAATGCTGTGTGTGGTCAGTGGATTGCTTAAATATATTTTTTTTGCACAGGATATGCAAAATTCTCCCATCTTAATGGGAGAATAATCTCTGTACAGTAATTTAAAATATTAACTAAGTTCTTCACAGAATTCTCATTTCATTTGACACAAAATTTGGCATCTGCCTTGCTGTTTGTAAATCAGAGAACTGGGGACCTCTTTCTCCACTGTCAGGCTTTTTAATAAAACATAACCACTTAATCTAACAGGTGAAGTTGGATTTAAACCGGAATTTCTAATTGGGAATCACCTTGTTCTGTTTGCAGAGATGAATTAAAAGGAGTCTTGGATCAATGCATGTTTGTTTTTCTGTAGTGGTGCTTTACCCAGAGCAGGGTTCTACTCCCCTGGGATTTAGGTTGAATTTAGATATATTTGATTACTTTCATCTCACTGGTGCAAAATTGGCAGTGCCAATTTTCTAGGTTAGAAAATGGAGGCAAAAATGCTTATTTGATGAACCACTGATAGAGAAAAGACCTGCTCTGGTTGGTTCCTGGGTGTACATTTCAGTCAGGAGCTTTTTTCCAACGCTGATAAGATTTAAAAAAATATATTTTAATGTCAAAACCCAAAGTGTACAAAAGGACTCTTTACACAAAGCATCTGTGCCTTTTGTAATAAAAATATTATTTATTTTATGAATACAGAAAAGTAGGTGCTAGGCTGGTAGGAATCAGATCTTGGTTCAATCTGAGATCTTCTGTCAGTCATTAAAATGAGCTACAAACCACGAGGGTGGGGAAAGGAGGAGACTCCTTTCTCTGCTGATTAAAGATGCCCCACTGTGTGTGCTGAGGGGAGATGGGCTGGCCTGGATTTACTGGAAATGAGATATGAGTGCAGAAATCCTCCTGTGTGCCATGGCCATGCCTGTGATCCGTTATCCAGGTACTGACTGGGAATATTGATAACTTTCAAATCCACATCCTGCTTGTCCAGGACTGGAATTTGTGATCATTCTCAAGCACTTTGCTCCACACAGGCCCTTGGTATTTGGAATGAGGAGCTGGATCCTTGCAGCATCTTTAATTCCATTTTTCCATGGGGATTCTGGGTATTGATCCATTATCCAGGAGTGTTCCCTGCTAATGACTGGAAATATTGATAGCATTAAAATCCACATCCTGCCATGTCCAGGACTGGGACTGGTGATAATTCCCAAGGATAGGGAATGCTGTGTGCAGGCCCTTGGTGTTTGGAATGAGGAGCTGGATCCTTGCAGTATCTTTAATTCCATTTTTCCATGGGGATTCTCACTGCTGGGTGCTCTGCAGCATTTCCTTCCCCACCTGCCAGGCTCCTCCAGCATCCCTGAATGCAAATGTCGGTGTCAGAGAAGTTCTGAAGGTGATAATTACATCAGAGTAGCGTGAAAAGTTTTCAGGTTCTCATGAAATATTGAAGACTCTTCTCTGCACATCCTGGTTTCCATGGCATGGCTGGAAAATGCCTTTTTGTATCTGCAGCTCTGCCTTAAGGGAACATTTGGAGACAGAATGGGCACAAGAGGCACAAGGAGGATGAACAGCAGGAATCTGCTTCTCCTTGAAAGCATCTTTCTGTTGAGGTTGGGTGGATTTGGGGTTTAATTCAGGCTCCCAGCAGAGATGTGGCAACTCAGAGATTTGATGATGGGGCCAAACAGGACTGTGAATTTTCAGGGGGTTGAAGCTCTTGTAGGAGGAGTTACACCAGATTTGGGCTGTATTTCTGTCACATTCCAGCTTTTGCTTTTCATTTTTGTGTTGGCAAAGCCAGGCTGGGAGCACAGCCTTTAACTGTGGGTGCATTTTGCAAGGGATGCTGACAACTTGGGGGATGCTGCAGTGCCAGGTCCCCAAAATCCCCTCCCTGCCTGGGCTGCCTGTTTTAACAAGAGGAGAAGAATACCTGGTGCTTGCAGGAATTCTGTGCACATCCAGGCTGCTGATGTTTTCATGTGGAGACTGAATTTAACCTGTTTTTCTGTGAGTTTGGCAGGGATCTCTGTGCTTCCCCTGGTCCCGGGATTTTGGCTGAACATATTGGGCCAAAATGGAGAAGCTGGTGGGAGCTTGTGTAATTCTGGCTTTTCTTTTGTTGGCAGCTGGTCCTGGCTGAAAGCTCCCATTCTGACACGGGCTCCCAGTGCACTGAGAGCCACACGGACCTTCCACCACCCCTGGAGAGGACAGGAGGCATCGGAGACTCCCGGCCCCCATCATTCCAGTAAGCCCTAATGCCCTTTTATTTATCAAATTCTAATTTCTATCTCTTTCTCACCCTCATTTCTCTTCCTGCTGCAAGCCAACTGTTTGTTGTTGTGGTTATAAAACTCAAATATCAAGGAATGAAAAACCCCTGTCATTGTTAGAGTGAAGTATTTATCCAAAATATCTCATTTTCAAGCCTGCTGTGGATGAGTTAAGTAGGGAGGGAGCCCCAAATGCTTTCTGTAGTGTGTGGCTGACAAGTGATTAGTGTGTTATGTGTAATTAGGGAGGGTGCGGAGCCAGCTGAACGCTGCTGGCAGGAGGGAAAATTTCCATAAGGGATAATTCCTGCTCCATGTCCATCCAGAGGCTGCCAGCTCCATCTGTGTGTGGCCAGACTGGGAATATCTGCTTTGATATTGTTATTTCCTGTTCCTGATCCAAGGGGTGTCCTTAGGATACCTTCATTTCCAGGGAGGGCCTTGGAATTTCCACCAGGAGGATTTAATAAAGCAGGGCCTAGTGCTCTTAGGCTGTGTTTGGAGAAGGAAATGTGGCCTGGATTTGCCTGTTTGCGATTTTTTTGGGATGGCTATTGCCTGGAAGAGCCCCCAGTGTTGTGTGTGAGTCTTTCACAGAGAAAAACCTTTTTGAGGGAACAGCAAATCCTGGGAAATCCTGACCCTGCCTGGCAGTGCCTTGCAAGGGCTGTGCTGCCCTCCTGTGTTCTGAACTGGCCAGAAAATAAAACCAGGCTTTGTCTTTCCCGGCCTAAACCTGCCTGGAACAGCTGCAAGCTCGAGCTTTGTTTCAAAAGATAATTAGCTTGGAATTAGGTGTGAGGTTTGTGGGGCTGCTCACTGCCAGGGCCGTGGATCCAATGCCCTGCTGCTCCACCTGCTTCTCAAATATTACAGAGAACATGTGGGAATGCTCAGAGGGCTGAAGGATGTTGCTCAGGTTGCTTTTTCTGCCTCTGTTCCCATTCCCAGATAAATCACTTTCCTGCTTTCCTTCTCCTCCATCCCTTTTCTTTTCTTTTTCTGAACTCCAGTAGAGAATCTGGCTTGTGAGTTCTCTTAGACTAAAACCTGTTTTCCCTTCATGCCTTTTTGAGTTCTTCTCTTCACAATTTCCCACAACATCTCAACATTTTACAGCGGATTTTTCTGCTGTGTTTCATTTTTTCATTGCAGAAGAGAATCTAATGATGACCTGAGTTTAGTCCATAACACAGGGCAGAGAATCTGTTACTCTGCATGAAGCCCTAAATTCTGTTGCTATGAGAATTACATTTTAAAGCATACCCACTGTAGATTTAAAGTGACAAAGAATCCACCATACTTTGAAATTATTTGTTTCGCTGTTGAGTTTAACAAGTCTTTCATAGTGAAATGAACTCCCTGAATCATGACTGTAGTCCTCTTCTGATCTCCAGAAATTATGGAAAATTACATTTCTTGGGATTTTGCTGTGGCACTTGTGCAATAGGAGTGACTTGTACTTTCCTGGTTCCTAAATCCCTGTGATTTTATTTCAATGCTCTTCAAGCTACCAAAGATCTATCATCTCCTTCAGTGCTGATTGAGGCCTTACATAAATAAGTGCCAGTTGAGCTGGGTGTTGTGCAATTGTACAAACAGAAATGGTGCTGGACAACAAAGAATCCAAGGAATAGGTGAAGCCTGTCCAAGGGAACGAGATCCTTCTCAGAGCTAAAGTGATGACTCTACTCTCTGCCTGACAGCGCTGATATTTTGCTTCACCATTAATGAAATCCAAATAAAACTTTATTTTTTCCCCTTCCTGCTGCGGGTTCTGAAGCTCATTCTGCATTTCATGCTCCACTGCTGCTTCTTGCCAAATCCACTTTCAGCCAAGTTTGGTGGTGGAGGTGCAGGGGTGAGGTGAGAGCAGTGACCTTAGAGTTGCCTTTCTGATGTGCTCTGAAAATGGAGTTGCATTTAATGGTGAGGGAACAAAGCAGCTGGGAGTTATTTTTGCAGCCATTGCAATGGTTTAAATCACCTTTTGGAGGCAGGTTTGGGTTCTGAGGTGATTCAGGAGTGGGAATTCTGAGCAGGAGTCAGTAGATGGTGCTGCTGGGATGGCCAAGAGTGACCTGAGCAATGTGTCACCCTGTCCCCTTTTCCAGCTGTGCTGGACTAACCGAGAAGTGTAAAAAAAGCTGTGTGACAGCACTGAAATCCAGCCTGGCATTTTGGTAGGGATTAAAACGTGCACTCAGATGTTTTCCTGAATGACAGCCTTGATTTCCTAATTTCTGTGGTGGGCATGTCAGCACATTTCGTTGATGCACGGGAGTGTGAGTGTGCAGGAGCCTCTGAAATGTGGAAATGTGACACTTAAATGTGGTTTCACACAGCCAGGTTTGGCTTCAGCTGCCACAGGAGCTTGGGCATGGTTGGTTACAGTGCTGGTGGTTTAACTCCCTGTCTGAAATGTGCATTTCCAGCCTCATGGAAGAAAATTCCAGAAAAAAATTTAGAAAAAAAAAAAATCTCCTTATTGTAGGAGAAACACATCAGTGGTGCTCAGTGGAGGTAAATGCTGGCCACTGCCCTCCCTGTGTGTTCAGGTGAGGGAGTTGAATTACCTGAATAACAGGTACAGAGGGCAGGAGAGAGTGGAGACTCTTGAATCTGGTGGGATTTATGGGTCAGAGAGGAGCAGTCACTTTCTGAGGGAGATCTTCCACACGGAGCTTTGGCCCCCATCAGATTATATTGTCACTGTTATATTTGTAGAAGTTTAAGGCAGTTTCCCCAGTTTAAGCATTTAAACAAGCTTTGGCCCTTGCCAGCACTGGAGCTGGCAGGAGAGGTGCAGAGAGATGCTTTACAGGAGCCTGGAGTGGCAGGACAAGGGGAAATGGATTCACACTGACAGAGGGCAGGGATAGGTGGGATATTGGGAAGGAATTCGGGACTGGGAGGGTGGGGCGGTGCTGGGATGGATTTCCCGAGAAGCTGTGGCTGCTCCATCCCTGGAAGTGCCCAAGGCCAGGTTTGGCACCGGATGGACTTTAAGGTCCACTTCAACCCAGGACATTCTGTGCTTCTGGCACTTAATTACTGTGAACTTTGCAAGGCTTCACCCTTCGAGGCCAGAGTTTTAAATTCAAAGTGGCCGGTGAGCTTCAGCTTCTGCTCTTGGCTGGGATCTCAGCGGGTGCCAGAATGATCCCTTCTCCTGGCCCAGCAGGAGCCTTTCTTCCCGGTGGGAATGTCCTGCACAGCCCTGGGGCAGCTTTGCCAGCGCCAGGGTGATGTGCGAGTGCTCCTGCGAACAGCTCTGGCTCTCAGGGCATCCATCTGGGGTTCTCTTTTCACCCCTGAGGTGGTTTTGGGGTGGGCCCAGCAGCCTGGGGCAGTTTGCAGTGCTCAGCTTCAGAGCTGTTTTGTGCCTTCTGCACCAATGTGCTCACAGCTGCAACTGCCTGGGTGGGAAAAGGAAAAAGAGGTGAGTCCAGTGATTGTCCCCATTTGTTCTGTGACAGCCCCAACGCTGCCAGCAGCAGGGATGGCCTGGACAACGAGACAGGAACAGAGTCCGTGATGAGCCACCGGCGCGAGCGGCACCGGCGGAGGAATCGCGAAGGCCACGAAGATGGTGAGTCCTGCTGCATCCTCCCTCTTTCCTAACCTTCCTCTCATCTCTCAGAGCAACAACTCCTGCATCATGAACACAAGAGACTTGTGGCTGCATTCCTGCCTGCTTTCAGGGACTGTTATTATTTTAATGGAATAATTTGATAATTGCTCTGAAACTCTTTGAAGTTCAGTGTTTTTCTGAGAGGTCTGCACAACCCACGGTGAAGTGGCAGAGAGATTGTTTTTGACAGTATGCAGAACTTCCTGTAGCATGAGAAGGTGAATAGCTTGGAGAGGACTGGCTGTTGATTTCTCAAGGCTTGGATCAGCTGGGGTGTTTTCTGTAACAGCAGCTCTGAAGATCTTTTTTTAGACCTAAATACACCTAAAGTACACCTATAAAATGCAGAACTCCATCTCTTGCCTCTGGTCTGTACATCAAAGTAAGCTTGGGTTTTTCATTCATTGCCAGACAAGAATTTCCAGGCTTAATTAAGAATTAATAGGTGCCGCCCATTGTGTTTAAAATGGTCCAGAATTTGGAATACTTGGGCACAAGAAATGCCATCAAGGCTTTTATTCACAGCTCCACACACCAAAGTATTTGCCTCCAGTTAGAACACCAGAAATCAGATTTATACTGATGGTTTCTGCTCATTTAACCCTTCCAAAGTGTCACTGATTAGGAGTGAATGAAAATCCTTCAGTAGGAGGAGCAGAGAGCTGTCTGTACTTGATCCTGACTGCAAATTCCTTTGGGAGCTGACAGAAAGAGGTGGAATCCTCTCAGAGTTTTGATTAAAAACTTGTTGCAGGAAGAATGTGAAAAGGGGAGTTGTTTTAAACATTAAATCTGTGCCAGTGCATGTTTTGCTGTGGATATTTATGCCATAAGAGCCGGTGTTGGTGGATGGAAATGTTTGAACACAGGAGTTTCTGCTAGGAGTGGTCTGGAACCAATTCATGCATTTCCATTCAGAAATAAATGGGATAAAATTTCCTCCTTCTGTCAAAGCCCAGGCAAGAACCTGTCACAAACATTACCTGTTCTCGGAATTTAGGCCTTGTGCCTGCAGCAGGTGAGTTCTGTTAATGTGCAGCAAGCAAGGAGAACTGCTTTAAAATACATTATTTAATGTTCCATAGTGTTTCTGTGGTTAAAATAGTATTTCATTTAACAATAACAACATCCAGTACACATAACAACACCATGAGTGTGTTGTTTTCAGTGGAAAGCAAGTCTAAAATGCACAGTTCAGCTCTTTGTCCTGAACTGCCGCTTGACAATACTAAAAGAAGTAAAATCCTGGGAAGGATTTTAAGGCCTTTTCATAACAATGATCACAGAGTCACTCTTTTCTTCCACCTTCACTTCTTGTCTGGAGAACAGCTGGATGGAAAATGGGGGAACAGCCCTAGGAAAAGGGGGACAAGGATGGGGAAAGAGCTGTGACACCAGGGTCCCAGCTATTCCAGGGTCAGCAGCTGTGTCCTCTCCCCTCATTGTGAAATGGGAAAATTCTCCTTTCCCTGCAGAAAGCAGGAAATGCAGTAAAAGTGTTTGATGTGCTCCTGCAGAGACTCGTTCGAATAATGCCCAAATTATAGCCCTGGTGCTTGGCAGAGGGGCAGGATGAGGGATCTCCTGGAGCTCTCTGTTACTCACTAAGTTTTTATTCCAGAGGCACAGGAACAGCTCACCTAGCTGGACAATTACCTGCCTTTGTAACTGTTTGGTACAAAGAATCACCCACCCTGGCAAAGAGGATTTCCCTGGATTCCCTCAAGGGAAAAGGAGTTCTTGTTCCACAAGAAAACAGGAGCAGGGTGTTCCAGCCTTCATTTCAAACAGGTGAAGTGAGGAAAGGTATGAAGGAGCCGTTTGGGAACAGAGAAACACCAAGTTAAAACCTGAGCAGGTCAAACAGGCTGAGTCCACTGAGCCCAGTGCATTGAGAGGTTCCACAGAAAGAAGATTGGGAAAATCCCAGGGAAGGGACACTGAACAAAGATTTTCTTTGCTACCCTCCATTTTAATTTACAAAAATAGCTTCCTTGTTTTACTGAAAAATGTTGCCAGCTTTCAGCCTGGGCTTGAACTGCAACAGGATCCTTCCAGAGGTTTGATTTGGAGTCAGGCTGATGGTGAACTCCCCAGGTTCTCCAGTGGGTGATAATTAAGTGAGGTACCATGGGTGGATTGTTCACCACAGCAGCCTGGAAATTTTCCTTCATTGCTGCAGGATTACTCACCCCACAAAAGCTGTTTCTGCTGAATTGCTACTGGGCAATTCCGCACACATAGGCTGTGATAAATATTGATTCCAACTGCAGCTGGAAGGCATGGGCCACACTTGGGTGATCTGACAGTGTTTTCACACCTCTTCCCATTGAAAATGCAGAAGAATTCTGGGTATCCCTAAGCTCTTCCACCCGTTTCCCTTAAATTGTATTCCTATTCTAAGTGCACAGACAATGAGTCTCCATATGTGCTTGTATATTCTCTGATTTCAAAATAATCCCCACAAAGAGAACATGGTGGCTTCAGGAACACAATAAAACTTTTTTTTGGAGCTGTGTGACACTGCAGATACAAACACCAAGAAAATCCCAAGGAAAATAGATCTGGAAAAAAAATAAATCAAGATGTCAGAGCTTGCCCTTTTCTCTCTTCAAGCCACAAGCCACACTTCCCAAGTTGCTTTGGGAAGCTGACAGTGTCCTATTAAGTGAAAGTAGAGTGAGGATCTTAATTAGGGTCGTGGGAGGTCTGCCTGGCACATGTTGTGGGGACCCCTGGCTGGGAGGAACAAAGCTCCTGTGTCAGTTTGCTAAGGAGGAGTGGGAAAGGGGACTGTGGAAGCTCTAATTAAGGAGGTAATTAAGGGACAAGGGCTTTTTTTGGGGTTTTTTTTTTGGGTGTTGAGGAATGTTTTATAGCCGCTGCTTGGTTTTTGACAAGTCTGCAGATGTCAAGTGTCGACACTGGGGTTTCAACACCCAGTTTGCTGTGGGGTGAATTTAACTCTTGTGCAGCCTGCTGAGAAATGCCTGTGTCTGGAGGAGCTCTTCATGTGGGCAGGCTCACAGATCCCAAATGTTTGGGAAGAGGAGCTGTTGCAGATTTTCCCTTGCTGCTGTAATATGTGGATTTTTTACCATCCTGTGTGCCAAGGAATCTGCAGGAGGGCTGGAACTGGAAAGCATCTGGGATGGGAATGCTGAGCCTGTCTGGGGTGGAGGGATTGAAGGCTGTTAGAGGTTCCAAAGAACTTCAATCCCAAGGCAAGTCAGGGTACAGGGATGTGCCCGTAAGGCAGAAGAGGACAATCCCAGTGTCTTTCCCTATTTAAGTAGCAGGGACTGAGCCCTGCACCCAGCAGGGTACTAAGTCTTTACTGAGGATTGGTAACACATTTCCTGTTAATAAATGGGAAGGACCTTTGGAAGGGGTTGGGAGGGTTGTTGTTTTCCCTCCTAGCTGGGAGCTTGTGCCTTCTCTCTGAGCTGCCCTCACCCTTGTTCTCTGCAGTGGCACAGAACCTTCTCCACAGCTCCCCTGAACAGATGCTGCTTTTACCTTTCTGCTTGCAGGCCTTGCTTGATTTGGTCTTTGATGTGCTCTTGTCCCTCAGGCAGGGCCTACTCTGCTGTTGATAAAAGTCAAGGAGGAGACGTTTTACCCTCCCAGGCTATGCTTTATTCTCAGCTCTTTGAGGCACTGAAAGGCTTTTGTCACATTGGCCTGCTGAACCTGCCGTCCTCTAATGAAGGGGCAGGGCAGGGGGTCAGTAGGGCAGAAAGTCCCTGGTCATTAGTGGGACAGGCATTGAAACAGAGCAGGGAATGATTGATTCTTCTTTAGACTTAAACTTGTATATTCCCTGATTTCAAAATAATCCCCACAAAGAGAATGTGGTGGCTCGAGGAACATAATAAAACTTTATTTGGAGGTGTGTGATGCTGCAGATACAAACACTAAGAAACTCCTAAGGAAAACTGATCTGGAAAAAAAAAATCAGGGTATCAGAGCTCCCCTTTTCTCTCTTCAAGCAACAAAAATCCTTATTGCTTTGGAAAGCTACATGGGAATATTTTATGAATAAACCCCTTATAATAATGGTTTGTGAAAGTACTAAATTATAATAATGGTTAATTGCCTCCAAACAATGCTGGCTAACATTAGAAAAGCTTGGAAAAAGGCATTTCACTTCTGCAGGGAAATTGCAAAAAAAACTTTATGGATTTAAATGCTCACCTTAATTACACAGGAAACCTTTCTTCTGAGCTCAAGGCTACCTGGTGCTGCTTGGGAGGTATAAACCAGATTTATTCCATGCCTTGGCTTCCTCTATTCCTGGTTGTTCTCCTGGTGCTGGAAATCTTTAATAAACACTGAGCATTACTTTGTCAAACTTTCTCTGATACTTCACTTGAAAAGCAAACCATGTTACTTCAATAATTAACTCTCAATATGCATCAGGCATAATTCCTACGGCAGGCCTTCCTCCCCTGAGCAGGTTTTCCATTCTGTAATTGAAGGGAAAATCCCTTAAACCTTGGAGTTGTGTGTTTGGTGAAGGTGGATTAAAATCTCAGGCTATCTGTGAAGCCTCTTACGTTGATTTCTTTACCAGGTGTCTTACTAAGCTCAGCCCTTCTTGTTTTAGGGAAAGAAGCATTCCTGGTAAAAGAGAGCACTTAGAAATTAAGGATATTCTAATGAAATGTGCAGGAGGAGTTTGCTGTACTGAGCAAAATCCCTAAAATATCTCTAGAAAAAGATGAGTCACTGCAGCCTTCAAGTAAATGGCATTTTTGGGAGGGGATTATCCGTGGGAATGTTTGTATCTGACAGTGTTCACATAGCCAGGGATTAGTGAAGATTTGTTCTGAAACACCTGAATAGTCCAGGCAGTGTTTGATGTCCTGTACTGCCCACACGAGGGACAGGAATGTGTAGCACAGGTCCAGGTAAAAGTGGTTTTATGGGTAAGATATTAATAAAATTCATCCAGGAATGTTGTTTCCAAGATTTCTGTGCTGCTGGGACTGTTCATGCCAAACTCAAACTGCTTTTGTTTGTCCCTTCCCATTGACACAGCTTCTTGTTGCTGTCTGGTACCTTCATAGTGCTTTTCCATGCCTGACACTGTTAATGGCTGGCCCAGAAACTGAGCCATGGGCAGGTGGAAAAGTGAGGGAAAGGCAGGGCAGAAGGTTTTCCAGCTGTGGAGAGGAATCGGGTCCTGCAAGGCGCTTGTTTTTGGGAGGAAGCTCCTCCTGCAGAGCTGTCGGTGTGATTGTCCTGTTGCTCCCACTTCCATAACTCCCCTGCTCCTCCCCTGTACTGTAACACTCCCTTTATTGTGCTTTTCCAGTCCCCAGGATCAATGGGCACCCCAAGCTGGACAGGCACCGTGAGCAACCCCCTGGCTATGACAGCTCCTCCACCATGATGAGCAGTGAGCTAGAGTCCAGCAGCTTCATCGATTCTGAGGACGATGACAACACCAGCAGGTACAGCCCTGCCAGGGGCCAGAACTGGGAGAGCCTCCTGGCACCTTCTTGGACTCTTCTGGTTTCATCTCCTCTTCTTTTCTTCCCCTGCCCCCCTCCCCTTTTTTTTTTTTTTTTTAAATTATCCTTTCATTGCTTTTGTGATTTGAGCACTGGTCGTTCATCAGTGACATCATTGTGTGGAATCACTCCTCAGTTATTGGGTCACTGTCCAGGCTGTCCAAACCACTGTTCCAGTTGAAAGAAAAGCTCTGTTCCTCTCCTTTTCATAGTAAGAATGGCCACATTTCAAGATCAAAGCACTGTGAAACTGCCTACCTATTTATAAAGAAATGGTGTGAATATTAAAACAAAATACTGTCAGCAGAGATTCCTAATAAGTGTGCACTTCACTGGAGCTCAATTATAAAGGAATTCCTGGGTAATTGCAGAGTCTGAGACCTATGAGCAGTTCAGGAATTCATCAAAGTTAATGCTGTTGCAGAGGCAGCCTGGGCTGCCATATATTTATGGATTCTTCATTATTTCTTTTTGTGCAGGCAAAGTGTGTGAATTATTCCCTACCTATGATACCTCTAATTTCAAGATATCTTTTGTTATATCTAAAGATAGTTTTGTTTCTCTTTTAGAAGTCTTTAAGCCAATACATTTCATAGACTTATTTTCGTGGATGTAAAACCAATCAAAATTATTTTTCTTCCTTTTCCTGGCCACTGCCTCTAGAGCTGTTGTTCATCCCAATGGGCTCTGAGAATCCATTATGGGTTTGTCAGAGAACAACAGGGTGACAGATCTCTGGATGGTCACAGGCATCTGCAGCTAAAACAAATAAGGCAGAACACAGCATTTTTAATAAAAACAGCAAAGAGCAACTACTGGAGGTCCTGAACCCCTTGCTGTGTTTACAAACATCATCAGCTCATGGATCTTGGTGGATCTGTTGGGTCTTGTCAGTCAGGGCTTAAAGACCTCACAACTGTGATTAAAGGCTGAGTGTTTCCAAAGGGGTGAAAGGATAACTAAATGCACTTTGGAGATTTAGTCCTGAATTAGTTTCAGGAACTTCCTTTGCAGTCCCAGAGAAGTGCAGGGTATCCCTGCATATGGCAGGGGTTGGAATGAGATGAGTTTAAGGTCCTTTCCAGCCCAAACCATTCCATGATGAAGTTGACAACACCTGGGCATACAAAAATTCACTTTTCTGGATTTTCTTCACCTGGATATTTACGTGCATGGAGAGTTGGCAAGATCTGTCCTTAACCCTGAATGCACCCTGAGCTTTCCCAAAGCCTTCCCTAAAAACTTGAGCCCACAACAACCCTGCAGCTGATTTGGGTTTCTTGTAAATAAATGAATCATTTGCATGGCAGCAAGTGATGCAGTGGGGCAGGATTAGCTCAGGGTGGCCAGTGGGGCACATTAGAGCAGACCCAGGGAAATCTTTCTGTATGAATAAAATAATAAAACTTCCTGAGTCTGACCTGAGAAGAAAGAGATTCTTCGAAGCTGCTGCTCCTGCCTTTCCATCCGGAGGCTGGGGCAGGAGCTTTTGGCACAGGGAAGAGCTGCCAGGCCAGCTAGTCAGGAAGAACCACTCAAAGGAATGCTCCAAGGTATGCTGTTGTGTTCCAGGGATGATCTTCTCAGGCACGGGAGAGATTGTGCTAGCAGGGAGAAATTTTCTTCTTTTGTAGAGGCAAATCAGGCAAAGAGCAAATGGAGAAGGTTCCAGAGCTGCTGGAGGCACCAGCCTGGGGACAGAGGGGTCTGAGGGGTGAGTTTGGTTCCTGATAGCTGCTGGCTTCTGGATGCAGAAGCTGCTTTGTGAGGGAGGAAATCAGATGGAAAGGATGTTGCTGTCCTGGAAGGGAAGAGGCTGTGAGGCTGAGGATGCTCTTCTGACTGTGTGTCTTTGGCTTTGTTTGATTTAAACTCGGAGCAGTGGAGCAGAGCTGGGTAATTCCCAGCCCAAGGAAGATCTGTTGCATTCAGTTATAGAATAATGTTGTGTTTTGGTGAATTAACCTGTTCACAGGCGTTCCAGGGCAGTGCAGAGTGACAGTGGGAGCACCATAATTTATTTCTTTTTTTTTCCCGACGTGTGATATAATTGCATGTTTGTGTTGTTTGCAGGTAGGATTTTGAACACAGGTTGACGTAGGGAACTTTCCAGGAAAAGCCTTTTTTCTGTCTTCTCTAAAGTAAAGGTCTAACAAATTTGACATCTGTTGCTGTAGGATTGTTGTCAGCAATTGCTGCTCTCAGTTCAGTGCAACTAAAAGAATTCACTGCAAAAAAATTGTTTATTTCTCATTTAAGAAATTTCCATAATTTATTTTTAAACCATGTGGATAAGCTTTCTTTAACAAATGTTGCCTTTTTCCCCCATCCTTTTGGAATTGTGAAATGGTGAAAAAATTATTACTATTATTATTATTATATTTTTAAAAATCTCTTCTGTGGTGTTTATTGACCTTTGTGTTGGAAGTGCAGTCAGGGTTTTGGGCAGTAGCTGATGTAGGAAATTAATTGGTAGTGTTAATTCCAGATTTGTTTTTCATCTTTGCACTTTATTTATCTCAAAAGCTCAAATTTACCATCTTGTCTTGTTCATCAGATTGTAATAATAACAACTTTTACCCAGCATTTCTGGAGATGCTTCAGAGAGCAAAATATTCCTCATTACAATAGGTTTGAGCTGCTTTTTAGCATCCAGATGCTCCCAGAACATTAAGGATTCAGCAAGGATGCATTAAGGCTGTGGATTGAGCAGAAATGACAGGGAGAGGTGATGAAATGTGCCACAGCTATGTGAAAATAGGTGTAAAAATGTTCCTGCAGAGCCTTCTGATCATCAGTTTTGTGCAGCTGATGTGAGAGGCTGTTTTAGCTCCAATTTTTCCCTGAAATGTTTTGTGTCCCCCTGAACTAAACCTGAACTGGGGGTTTTCTAAGCAGCTGGTTCTCATCCTTCCATCCTAACACCGAACAGAATGGCAAAAATACAGCAAAGAACACCTTCACTTCTCACATGTTATCACCTGCTAACAGAAACTCAGAGTTTTTCCTAGGAACTCTGGTTTTGATGGTTTAATTTGAGAGAAAAATGTCCTTTTAGAGAGCAGGCAGCTTCACTGTGGAGTGAGCGACGTGCCTTGGCTTTCCTCAGATTCTCCTGAACTGGGAAGTTTTAGCTGAGTCCTCTGGTGAGATGTTCTGGAAGGGAAGAGGAAGAAAAGGAAATGGGAGAGGAAGCAGGAAGGGGGAGAATATTGACAGCAAAATATAAGAGGAGGTTTTTTGTGTCAGTCTTTGGTGAATGTTGAACATGCCCAGTTTTGGGAGCCCTGGGTTTGACACCTCATTTTTCCTCTTGGAAGGTAAAACCTCCCAACCCCAGGTGCTGTGTGAGCTGTTTTACCAACCAGGAATTATTATATTTGAAATTATTATATTTGAAAAATGCCACCTCTTGGCTCTTCAGTTCCCCTTGCTGGGAGGGGAAAAAGGAGTGTGTGAGGTTAACATGCTTGAAATAGTTGTGTGAACTCCAAGGGAATGTGAGGAGATTCACACCCTCTGAGCAGCTCCAGCATCTCCAGGGGTGATACCTGATAAAAATATTTCAGGCCAGAGGGGTTTCTTGTGCTCTCAGGACACTGAGCTCCTTTTTGGAATTGCTGGCATCAAGTTTTTGAGGTATTCTCACATTCCTGTATGTGGCTGGAACATGGAAGGCAGGGATGTGGAAAATGGGGGAAAAGCTTGGCACTGTTTGTTTTGTGTTGTATGAGGTTGGATTTTTTAATCTTGGTTAATGATGGAGCATTGCTTTATCTTCAATTTTTTTTGCCATTCTTAACATATTAAATAGAGGAGAGATGTCTCTCTGGTGTTATAGAGGTATCTTAATAATCTAGGCTTTGTTCCAGTCTCCTGAAATTAATTTGGGCAAATCCATTTCTGTCTCATTCTATTCTCTGTAAAGTGAGGATGATTAATTTTCTAAACTCTTAAAGACCTCAAAGATTTATATGTAAAATGTGGCACATTTTAGGCTCTACAAGTTTGAAGAGCCTGGAAAAAACCCACAGCAAAATAAAACTTAACAGAATGTATGAACGTAAATCATATTCACTGTCCTCCTGTTACCAATTTCTATTTGATTTTTTTAATTTCAAGCCTTGAATTCCTGGTAACAGTGGAAGAAAATACAGCACCACTCACAAAAATGAGCACTAAGGGTTGCACTCAGACCTGGTCCCAGAAGAAAACAAGTGCAAAATTATACCCCGTAACATTAAATTATTCATCTGATCCCTGCTGTTGTTTTGCTGGAATCTTCTCCTATGCTGTCTGATTTCCCCTCTCCTGCTGCTGCAGGAATCAGCTCTTTCTGGCAGAAAATGCAGGTGGCTGAGCCTTGCAGGAATGACATCTGCTCTGCTTTCCCCTCAGGCTGAGCAGCTCCACGGAGCAGAGCACCTCATCCCGGCTCATCCGGAAGCACAAACGCCGGAGGAGGAAACAGAGGATGCGGCAGATTGACAGGGTAAGCTTGGCACCAGCATTATCCAAGGAGGTGAACCATGGTTTTTGAGTAGAGCTGTTGACTTAGGAAGGGATCCAGGACAGGTCTGTGCCTGTTGAATTCACTAGGATGGCTCCTTGTGGCTCCAGTCTGGGCTAAATCTCTACATTTGGATTCTGCAGCTCCAAAGTTAAGTTTTCACCTCTCCCTTTCTCCTTTCACTGTTCAGTGATCCCATTTCTTGTCTTTTCCAAGACCAATCTGTCTTTTCCAAGACCATTATGATGTGGGAAGGGGTGTGAGATGTCCTGAGACCTGCATTCTGCTGGAAGGAGAAATCCAAGTTTATAGGAAATCCTGGATCTTTTCCTTTGCCCTGTCCTGTGCTAGTCCTTGGCAGCAGGATGAAGGTGACCCCATGGACAGACTCCTGAAGTTCCTGTTTTGTTCTCCCAGTCTTCACACATTAAAGAATGACCTCACACACATTTTATCACAGGATAGTGTTTTAGAAGATCTTTGATAAGCACCTTTGCATTTAATTTCAGAGGCAGGGGAGTGTCTCTCTTCTCACTTCCTGCTGGAAGTGCTGTTCACTCCTCCCTTTAGGGAGGAGCTGTGGGTGCAATTCACGCTCCACTGCTCACTTCAGGATCTAAATGTTTGCCTGTCAGTCACAGCCAGGAAGCAGAAATAACTCCAGGGGAAGTGCAGTTGAGAAACCTCAAAATAAGAACGTGCTCTGTGGGTTTTGTGAGCAAGCCTTTGGAGAAAGTGCAGACTCTGCTCAGATTTCTTTCCTTAAAGTTTCTAAATGAAGCATAATTTTGAGGAAGCCTGAATAATTTCTGGATGCCTTTCAATTGGAGACCTATTAATCAATTCCTGATGAGTTAATCCTCAACAGTTCTTACTCTGAGCCATTTAAAACCTTGAGACTTTTCTGTTGTGTTTTGCAGTCATCTTCGTTCAGCAGCATCACTGACTCCACCATGTCCTTAAATATCATCACTGTCACACTCAACATGGGTAAGAGGACAAGCCACGTTTTTTATGATGAATTTCAAGTGGTAGAGATGTATTTTGTGATGGTGAGGGAGCCTTTGGAGCCAGGAGGGAGTTCCTTGGTTTGAAAGGATGCCAGGTTTATAAAGGGAATGGCAGCTGAGAGTTGTTGCTGTGTTGACTGGATTCCTAATCCAGAACAGGTCCATTTTCACCAGTAGATCAGTGTTCCATCCAGGGAAGGAGCTGGAACTCCAGGATGTGGAGTTAATGGTGAGGAATTAGTGTAGAAGGGCATTGGAGGTTTGCATTTCTGCTGCTCATGTGTTCCATTTGTCAGCCAGACAGAAATGTGCCGGGCTGCCAATGAATTCAGCACCTTTCAGCAGCACCAAACCCTTCTCCTGCCTCTCTGACATGTGGAACGAACATTGCTCAATGTGAGCAGTTCTAATTTCCAGGTGTGGACAAGCCTTTTCAGTGCTCTTCCCCTTGCTGTTTTTTTTTTAATGTAACACTATCTTAGATGAAAAAATCCTGTCTTCAGCAGCCTTTCCCTGAAGGTGCCAGGCAAATATTTACCATTGGAGCAGCCTGAGATCATTGCAAGTCAAACCTTGCCCTGCTGATGAGTTGAGATGTTTCAAAGCTGAAGCAGCCTCACTTTTTGCTATCATTCCAATCACTTTGCTTTTTTCCCCCTTCCCCACCCTCCACTTTGTGTCCATCTAGAAAAGTACAACTTCCTGGGAATCAGCATTGTGGGACAGAGCAATGACCGGGGTGATGGTGGCATCTACATCGGCTCCATCATGAAAGGAGGGGCGGTGGCAGCGGACGGGCGCATTGAGCCAGGGGACATGCTGCTGCAGGTGGGTCCTTGTCCCCAAATCCTGCTGCTGTGCTCAGCCATCCCACCAGCCCCATGGGCTGTAGTAACCAGGGAACAGAATTTACTCATCCTCAGATAAATGTGGCAAAAAGATCACTGAAATCGGTGATTCTTTGTGAGACACTCTAAGAAACAACATTTCAAAGGAATGGAAGCAGTGGCCAGGCAGATAAGTTGGGGGCTTTAATTAAGTAATTAAAACACCTTTAACTTTCCTGCTGCAAAGCCTGACCTCTGCTTTCTGCACTGTTTCAGGTGAATGATGTCAATTTTGAGAACATGAGCAATGATGATGCCGTTCGGGTTTTACGGGAAATAGTCTCTAAACCAGGGTGAGCACATCACAAAACCTCTTCCTCTTTATCCTCCGTGTGCAGTTCCAGAAGCTGGGAAAACCTCACAGAAATCAACATCTTGATATCCATCAGCATGACTAATCTCATCTGTGAACTTCTCAGTGTAAATGATGAATAGGTGAGGTTGGTTCTGGCCAAAACCAACATGAATGAGAAGTTGCCTGGTTTCAGCAGCACTGTTTGTTTATGTGATTAGCATTTTTATATCTCAAGAGCTGATCATCCAACAGATTTTACCACCAGTGCTCATCATCTGTGCAAAAGAAGGAACATCCTGATGTGCTTCATACTGAAAATATTATAAAGCTTCTCAAAACTATTCTCAGAATGTACTTGACAACTGCTGGATGGGAAGAAATTTGTTTCAAATAGTTCTTGTAGCATTTCCAGCTCTGTAGGAAAGTTAAGAGTCATCCTTACCTGTTTTCTTTCTTCCTAGACCTATCAGCCTAACAGTAGCCAAATGCTGGGACCCTACTCCCAGGAGTTACTTCACCATCCCCAGGGGTGAGTACACATTTGGGCTCTTTGCTGGGTTCCTGGGAAGCCCCCAAGGTCTGGTATATTTTCACCTATTTTGGCATCTAACAGATTCTACCATTCAGTTCTTTTATTTGTTTACTTATGTATTGGGAGCCTGGGGTTCAAGATACTTTTTTCTGAGATTCCACTGCCCATTGAATTCCTGTGTGTTTTTCTCTTGGTTCACATATTGGATCAAGCCACTAACCTTTTGGGAGGTGATCTTAACCTTTCAATTCATAAAAGGTTTGGAAATAATTACGCTAAGTGTTAAAAATCCTCATTTTCTCACAGTTAACTTTTAGAGAGAACTTAAACTGAGTGCTTTGAAGATGTGAGGGAAGCAGAAGCGATACACATAAAACACCTTGAAAATTACCTTGTTTACAGTAGCTGTAAAAGATTTGTGCTCATGTGACAAACACAGCTGCCTCCTGCTGGTGAGGGCTGTGCTGGAACGAGTTTGTTCCCAGTTCACAGGAGATGAGAGTGGTATTGCAGATGAGGATGGAATAAATACAGTACTGGTGCAGACAGTGGGAGCTCCCTTGAAACCCATAGGAAAACCAGAGAAACAACAAGAGAACAAGAGAAAACTCCTCAGATGTTTCAAAATTTTGATATTTACTGCAAGTCTGACTCCATTTTTTGTGCCTTTTGTCCAGTGCAGACTACAGGACCTCAGTCCTGTGAAACCCTTATTAAAACCAGTATAACCAAAAGAAAACTCCTCAGACCACTCAAAATCTTGATGTTCTCTGCAAGTCTGACCCCGTTTTCTATCCCGTTGTGGTGGTGCAGACTACGGGACCTCACTCCTCTAAAAAAACCCTTAGGAAAACCAGAGAAACAAGAAGAGAACAAGAGAAAACCGCTCAGATCTTTCAAAATCTTGGTGTTTGCTGCAAGTCTGGCCCTGTTTTGCTGTCCCTTTGTGGTGGTGCAGATTACAGGACCTCACCCCCTTGAAACCCTTATTGAAACCAGTATAACCAAAAGAAAACCCCTCAGACCACTCCAAATCTTGGTGTTTGCTGCAGCTCTGACCTCATTTTGCTGTTCTTCTGTGGTGGGGCAGACTATGGGTTCTCACTCCTGTGAAACCCTTATTAAAACCAGTATAACCAGAAGAAAACCCCTCAGATCTTTGAAAATCTTGGTATTTGCAGCAACTCTGACTCCGTTTTACTGTCCATTTGTGGTGGTAAGAGTCTGTGGGATCTCACTCGTGAAACCCTCAGAAAACCAGAGAAACAACAAGAAAACAAGAGAAAACCCCTAAGATCTCTCAAAATCTTGGTGTTTGCTGCAAGTCTGACCCATTTTCTGTCCCTTTTGCTTGCAGCTGAGCCGGTGCGGCCGATCGACCCCGCGGCGTGGATCTCTCATACCACAGCCATGACGGGAGCGTACCCCCGTTACGGTATGAGCCCCTCCATGAGCATCACCACATCTACCAGCTCCTCACTAACAAGCTCAATTCCCGAGTCGGAAAGTAAGTCACCCCCTGGCCAGCCCAGGGCAGGGGGCTGCTCGGGGCCATCAGGGCCCAGCCACAGGCACGGTGACAGCGGCAGCGCCAGCCAGGCCTTGAACGGTTTCTTGCACTTGGGGAAAGCAGGAAAAACTTCTGGCAAAGGTTGATCTAGAGGTGTTTGGTCAGGGTTCTGTCTCAGGGAGAAGTGGTTGCTGGTGGATTTTAAAAATAAGTTCAGGTTTATCCTCTCAGGTGGATGGGAGAGCTCCCTTCTTGCATTTGATTGGTTTTTAATAAATTTCAATTATAATGTTAGTGTTTCATTTGGGAAATCCTTCCCTGATACTCACATGGCCTTCTTTTATACTTTTTTACCCTTTTTTATGGTCTTTATATTTTTAGAATTTATTGAACAAGCTAAAACTAAGTTTAACATCCCACATGAAATTATGGTTGGAGTTGAGCCTTCTTCCTAGTTTGTCGGTTTGTGGCAGTCTAAAATAGTTATATCCATGAAACCAGGAGGTTGCCATGATTTAGAGAGGCTTCTTTAATTCAGAAGCCTCTCAGAGCACTCTAATCACAGAATCTTTTTAGTTGGAAGGGACCCACATGGATCAGTGAGTCCAAATCTCAAGTGAATGGCCCAGACAGGGATCAGACCCATGGCCTTGGTGTTAATAACATTATGCTCCAACTCCTTATCTAAGAAAATTTCTTTAAGGAGTATTAGCTCTTCCTTTTATTTAACTCAGAACGACACTTTGAGGATTTTAAAGACCTGTGGGGTATTGATTATAAAGTACTTCAGATTTTATAAGCTGGAATTCCACCTTGGAGGGAAAGGCCGTGGGGGGTCTTTTTTGTAGGTGGTTTTAGAGATCAGGCAGCACCACTGAAGAGACATAATCTGCAGCAGGAAGCAAATAACCCCTTTCCTGCTGGCTGCTTTATCCTGAGATGTATTTTGAGCCTTACAGGTACTGCTGGAATCCAGTGTCTCTGCTGATTGCTGTCAAACAAGTCTGTACTCATCATTCCTCTTGAACAATTGATGTATCCTGTGCCTTGATTATAGTGCTGGGATTGGGAAGTGGGGAACAGGCAACCTCTCAGTCATACTTTGAAAATAAAGGTATTTGGGAGCAGAACCACATTTCTGGAGACAGCTTCTCATTTCTGTGCCAGTGACTTAAAATATTTCCTTTCTGTAATGCAAGAGAATAAAGGGTACCCCTGATTTTTATTGTGAGCTCTTCCTTCAGCTCAGCCCTGTTACCTGCCCTGACCTGGGTTGGGTGAATTTTCCACAGCTGAATTCAGACCAAAATGGGAGCATTTCAGATGCATCTCAGAATTTGCCATATTTGTATATGCAGCCAGAACTCAGAAAATACTGATTTTCTGTTCATATGCAGATCTCAGATCTCCAAGAAAACACAATTCATTGCTCCCCATGTACTTGAATATTAGTTTGTTGGTGTATTTTTTTTCCCCAGACATGTTGCTTTTTGCCACTAACCAAACTAACTTAAAGCAAAAGCAAAGTTTTAGTGTTTAATTGAGGTTTGTAAGTATTGAAGCTGCATGCAGAGCTGGTCTGGGATGTTTTCATGCATATTGGCAGTGCATGTAAGGAAAGAAGCATTTTCAGTTGTCATTGTTTCACGCTTGCTGTACCTTTTTTTGATCCAAAATTTTGGGTGGCTGGAAAAGGACATAAGTGTTTCCCTTGTGCTTTTAAAAGGTGGGTGATGTGGGGAACTGAGAGGGGAAGAGGGTTTTGGAATTCCTGCTGAAGAAGGGCTTGGGCTACAAACACAGATAAAAATGAATTTTCTAGGGCTGGAAGATGGGACAGGAAGGGGAATTTGACAAGAGCAACCTCAACCCTGTTCTGATTTTATTGTAAAAATTGATCAGGAAAGTGTGAAACCTCTGGGGATCCACTTCTGCCATAATGGTGTGAACTGGGAATGGCTGTGGAGGCATTTGGGAGCTTTATTCAAAGTGTTCCACAAGAAAGATGGAGGGCAAAGTAATCCTGGGAGGAGTGGATTGTGAGGCTGCCATCTCTGGGACTCTGGGAAGGGTTTTTATAAGGAAGTCACTGATTTCTTCTGATGAAGGAAGATTTGTTTTATAAATTCAATTCTCCACAAGAATGTCCAGACCTTTAAATAAAAACTGGACGTGGATTGAGCCATGGTCATCCTCTTTCTCCATGGAGATGGGTGTTAATCCTGACAATGAACCTCAAACTAAAAGCACAAACCCCAAAAGCTTGTCCCACAGAGTTCTCCATGCAGTGTGCTGATCCCTTGGGTGGAAGGGGGTGTTCCTGGGACATTGAAATGGGAAATGATGGATCACAAAAATTCTTGGATTTCCTTTCCTGCCAATTTTGATGCAGAGTGGATCTTGTAGGTGCTCTGGGAAGCCAGACATGGGGACTCAGCATTTCTGTCACTAAACTGGTTGCACTGAGCCCAAAATCTGAAGAATTGCTACAAATGCTGTAATTCACTCCATGGATGAGGATGCATTTGGGAACCTTTGTGTCTTTTCTTTTTTTTTTTTTGCATCTGTTGATAAAACTGTATTTTTGTTTCATCCAAGCTGGGAGCTGAGAAGTTCCTCCAGCCTCAGTTCATTTCAAAGCAGTCTGTGGCCTCTCTTCCTTTTAGAATTAGAAGAATCTCCCTTAACTGTGAAGAGTGACATGGCTACTATTGTCAAGGTCATGCAGCTGCCAGACTCAGGCCTTGAAATTCGGGACAGGATGTGGTTAAAAATCACCATCTCCAATGCAGTAATAGGTAAGCAGATCCCATGAATGCTAAGGGGGAAAAAAACCAGTGACTTAATGAAAACAGATTCAAGAAACAACCTTTTAATGAGGTTTTTTTTTCATGTCTATGACCACTTATATTCCATTTATGGAACGCTGTAAGTGTGACTCTTGTTTGAGCTTGGGTATCCAAAATAGCTGCACATTTCTCATGCCCACACAGAACTGGTTCTTCTTTGTTTTTACATCTCAGGTTTTCAGGTGGCTTTAGAGATCTGCCCAAGTTCAGCAGAGCAACTGGAATTCAACTAGACAACCTTAATAAAGCTCTTTAGATTTAAAATCACCACAGCCTAATATTTAGCCAGTCCAGGCTGTAATTGCTTTTTGCTGAGGAAGGGGTTGGAACACAGGTATTTTGGCAACCTAATATCTGCCTCTTGAGGAAGGTGACTCCCAGAGAAGAGTCACCTTCTCTGGTGAAATCCAGAGAAAAAAATAATTTTCAGTCCTGCAGCTTAAAAGGGTTGCACAGTGTGTGTAAATACGATTTTTTGTGTGTGTGGTTAGTGTCAGTGTCCATGTAGGTGTTCAGCTGGCACAATTTGGCTCAGATAATCCCATTGTAGGTGTTCAGATGGCACAGTTTGACTCAGATAATCCCATTGTAGGTGTTCAAATGGCACAGTTTGGCTCAGATAATCCCACTGTAGTTGTTCAAATGGCACAATTTGGCTCAGATGATCCCATTGTAGGTGTTCAAATGGCACAGTTTGGCTCAGATAATCCTGTGTCTCCTCTTGCTGTCCCCATTTCAGGAGCAGATGTGGTGGACTGGCTTTACACACATGTGGAAGGCTTCAAGGACCGCCGGGAGGCCAGGAAATACGCCAGCAGCATGTTGAAACACGGCTACCTCAGGCACACTGTGAACAAAATCACCTTCTCAGAGCAGTGCTACTATGTCTTCGGAGATCTCTGTGGCAGTAAGTCCCCAGCTGGGAGGGGCAGAGTTGTCCCTGTGTCACTTCTGTGCCTTGAGGGTGCTCAGAGAGTCCCCTCGTGTCCTTACCATGAAAAATTTCATGAGGAGGCATTTCCATGAGGGTGGCAGAGCTCTGGAGCAGGCAGGGCATGATACTCTAAACCCAGCTGGACACGTTCCTGTGTCACCTGCTCCAGGGTTGGACAAAGAGGTTAGACAGGGGCATCTCCAGAGGTTCCTTCTGATCCCAACTCTCCTGGGGTTTTACAGGGTGTGTCCCAGAACAGGGGAACCCTTCATTACCCGGACACTGACAAGTGACTGATGCTCCTTGGTAGCCCAGGCAAGGAGAGCACTTGGAGGAGGATGAACCCATCAAGTAGAGCACAGAGGACAGCAGGATTTATTTCATTCCCTGCTTGTCAGTCCCACTCAGTTCCCAGCCTGGAAAAGGGGAATGTCCTCACCCTTTTCTCAACCTGTTTTCACCTCTCACTCACTGCTGGGTGAGAAGGCTGATTCCAGGGTGTTTCTAAGCTTCAGATACCTTCATAAATTAATCACAGTGATCATTTTACCTGCTGGGTGAAAGTTTTCACCTTTTTTCTTTCCCAGATCTGGCTGCACTGAACCTCAACAACGGTTCCAGCGGCGCCTCAGATCAGGACACCCTGGCTCCACTCCCACATCCCGCTGCTCCCTGGCCCTTGGGCCAAGGATATCCCTACCAGTATCCTCTGCCCCCTCCTTGTTTCCCACCAGCCTACCAAGACCCAGGCTTTAGCTATGGCAGTGGCAGTGCAGGCAGCCAGCAGAGTGAAGGTAAGATGGAATAATTTGGTTTGAATTCCATAGCTCTCATTGCCCCCCACCATTTGCTTGAGTTCCTTCATGCTGTCTGTGCTTGTCTCATGGTTTTGGTTGCTCCCTGCATGGATTGTGTGCAACAGCACTGAATCAAAGGTGTTTGTGTCTCCAGAGGAGTGGGTTTGGCTTTCAGCTCTTTGTGGAAACTGCCAGGCTTAACCCAGTCAGGAATTGCCAGCAGAGCATTGTTGTTGCTGGAAATGAGGCAATTTCTGTGCTGATGGGACAGGGATTAGAACCAAGGTGCTCTTGGCTTTCACTTCAGTGCTCAGCACAAAAGGAAAATCACTTTTTTTGCAAGTGGGAGGTAGCCAGCCAGGGGTTTCCAGGGCTGAAACACTTCTCTCAGGGAGGAGAGTCTCTGCTGGCATGTGGGACAGGGACAGGAAGAGAATGTTGCATGGATTAAAGACCTGTCCTCCTCCTTTTCTGCCCTAGCATAACACTGTGATTCATTTTTAAATCTTAGTAAATTAAAATTACGTGATTTTTGACTGTACAGATACTATTTTTAAATTTCTGGTTTTTTTTTTAAATCACTCCCAGAGTGAGTTTTGCTTTTGAAAACGCTGCCAGTAAGAAGGGGTGAGGACTCCTTATGTTTTTACAGCGAACATCCAGTAACTTGGATGTCACTTATCCCTGTGTACCACAGCCAGTCAGATTTTAAAGGATTTCGTAACAGGAACTTGCTTACAGGATTTTGACCCAGCTGCTTCTCACCTTATCCCAAAATAGGAAATATCCATGAGGAATCTCACAAAGGTTTTAGAACTGGAAGCTGATTGTCCTGGACAGAATGTGGGGGTGGTTTTTTGGCAGCTGCTTCTGTGAGCAGTAGGAATTCTCTCCCTGGAATAGGAAAGGAATGGTGTTTTATCCATGCTGTGGAGAGCCTCCCAAAAGGGAGTGTTCAGCTCTGAAAGGTTTCCACGCTTTTTCTCGTGGAAAACAACTTCTGTGCTGTTTCTTGCTTTGTAACTGTTATTCCCTTGTTTTGTCCTGAGCAAGCGTTAGACTGAAGGATTCCTAGAGGGATGGCTGACTCTAGGGGATTGGTAAGCTTCAAATGCCTCCATGATGAATTCACAGCATGATTGTTTTTAGATTCTTGTGACCCAAATGTTTAGCTGTACTTTTTTTTTTTTTTTAAATTCTTATTTTTAATTTTATTTTTATTTTGAATTGTCTTGGACGTTCGACCTGTCTCAGTGCACAGTGGTGTGACATTAGCGTATCAACTTGTGGGACTGTGCTGCAGCAGCTCAGAGGGGAGGGAATTGGGTGGGAAAACCCCATCCCCAGGCTCTCCAGAAAATAAATAGTCCAAATTTATTATGGTGTCACCCCTCTGGGTTGGATTTCTCTGCCAGTGCCCTTGCACTGCCCATTAATTGATGGCCAGGTGGCTCAGGCAGGTGTTGGGAGTGCTGGAACACAGGCTGCACTGGTCACTCTTAAAATGGTGCTAAAATTGGGGTTTTGTGCCTTCTCTCATTTATCTGCAGTATTAAATCATAACAATCAGCAAATACCATTTCAGAGGCCCAGGCATAGAATATTAATTTAAAATCCAGTAGTTTTGTAGTCTGTTTGCCATCTCTGTGACACTCTGCAGGGAATGTGGCCTTTCCTCCCAAAAAACATTCTGGTTTCCCATCTCTCCAATCAGCTGGAGCAGCAGAAAGTAATGGGCATCTGTAGCTAAAGAGGGAGCAGCCTGAAATAATTTTGTTTTTCTCATTTCTGTGGCTCATTTAGACTCAAAAGCTGGTCCCCTGTTTTGTTGATTGGGGATCCTTTTTGGGAAGTCTATCTTGCACTAAAGTGCATGAATTTAATGGGATATTCCTTGGGTTGATTAGTTGGATTTAAAAAAAATATTAGCTTGGAACTGTCTCCTAATCTGTCTCTCATGGGAACAGAGCAAGACATTCAGCTTCCATAAAAAATCAGTTCTTGGAGTTTAGTGGAGCTTGTTTGTAATAACAACTCAACTGATAGTCAGTGACAATCCTTTGGTTTTCCAAGGTGATTTAGTGACCTCTCCTGGGAACAATATCCTGGGTGTTACTGATTGGTGGGAGAGCAGTTCAGGAACTGTTTCCTAGCAAATTCTCCAACAGCACAACGCTTTAGTGAGGAATTTTAAAAGGACCTCCCCACTGAAGCCACAAAACCTCGGGGATTTAAGGGTGACAGAGGAGGCAAAGGGGTTTGTTTAGGAAAATGTACAAAATACCATAGCAGAGACAATTAGAATTAAACCTCATTTGCTTGAGTCAGACCCCAAATTCCTGCTTTTTCCTCCTGTTCCTGCTCCTCCCCGCTCCTGGCAGGCCAGATTTGAGCCAGGAGTTGGAATTTAGCTGCTGCTGTCACTGTGCGAGCTCCGAGGTGTGTCTGTGTGTCCCCAAGCATGGCACAACCCTCATTGCTGAACCACCACCAGCACGGCCGGGCTGACACACAACAGAGCCCAGCTCATCCTGCTTTTCTCTCCTGTTTTTGGCGTGGCAGGGAGCAAAAGCAGCGGCTCGAACCGGAGCACCAGCGAGACCAGCAGGAGAGGAGCGGGCAGGGAGAAGGAGCGCAAGTCGGGGGGCAGCGGCAGCGAGTCGGAGCCCGGAGCGCGCCGGGAGCGGCCGCTGAGCCAGCTCAGCCAGCGCAGCCACGGCTCTGCCAGCGACAGGAGCCACCAGAGCCACCACTCGTATGGGCCCCCGGGGGTGCCCCCCTTGTACAGCCTGCCCAAGCTGGGCTCCAAGGTGCTGGGCAGCAGCGGCCCGCCCGGAGGGCCCCCGGTGCGCGAGCTGAGCGCCGTGCCGCCCGAGCTCACCGGGAGCCGCCAGTCCTTCCAGAAGGCCATGGGCAACCCTTGCGAGTTCTTTGTGGACATCATGTGAGAGGAAGTGCCTTCAAAAGACTCTGCACACGAGGGTGGGATTTTTTTTTGTGGGTGGGTGGGTTTGGGGGAGTCGTTGTGGGACGCTCAGTGGAAGAGGCTTGGCTGTCTTGCATGTCACACCTTCCTGTTCGCAAGTGTGTAGCAGAAAAAAAGTGGACAAAACTGAACAAAAAAAAAAAAAAAGAGAGAAAAGAAAAAAAAATACAAAAATTAACAACAAAATCTCCTGGGATTGTTAAATATCGAAAAATTGCAAATCGACGGCATCTTTTCGTTATCTTTGGTTTTTTTCCCCTCGCCATCTCGTTTTGGATTGTGAATGGCTGGTGTATATTCACATCTTAATGAGCTTTGGTCATTGTGGCACCTACTTCAGTGGAATTAGTGTCTCTTTTTGGGCTGATTGGAGGACTGGTATTTCACATGACTTCTAAATTCCTGACAATGCATAGGAGCACTTTGATTTTTTTCCTGCTTTTTCTCTTGCAAGGACAAAGCAACTGCTGGCTGGTATCTGGGATACTGCCTTGGAATGCTGTTTCTTGGATGCATCCATAGCTCTAAGCAGACATGGCACCCACAAGTGCTTGGAAAGGAGTAGGATCCAACCAATTCCTAGAGGAGAACAAAGTTGTGGCTACTTCCTGCTGTCTAGGGAGTATAAGTCAATCTTTCTTGGGCTGTTTGAGGGGCTTTTTTTCAAGATACTCTCTCAAGGGAGTGCTGGAGTCTTGCTACTGTATGTGTTCATTGTGCAGAACTTACAAAATTATTTCCTTATTTCCCAAGAGTGATTTTCCAGCTGCACTCGGTTCCTGGGCATTTCAGTCACATCCCTGCTGCCAGGTGTGGCTGTTCCCTCTGGATGTGCACTTGCTTGCAGGTTGGAAGAGTTATTCCCACAGAAATAGGAAAATTGCTGCATTTCTGTCAGCTTTTCCCTTTTGAAGGGGCTGTTTATCCCATTCCAGCAGAGGCACTGGGAAATCCTGGCTTCCACTGGGACGTGGCTCTTCATTGTGATCCCTCCTTCCTTTCTGAGCAGAATCTTTCTCTTTTTTGTTGAAACAGAGACCTGGAGATGTCTGATCCCCCAGGGAACATTTCTGAGCACAGTGGGCAGAGAGGTGTCAGGACATCTGAGAACAGATCAGGAATGGTGCAAAAAGAAATCCTTACCCCTCACACTAAGTGAAACCCACCCTGGAGCTCCTCAAAAAGAAATCCTTACCCCTGACACTGAGTGAGACCCACCCTGGAGCTCCTCAAGAAGAAATCCTTACCCCTCACACCAAGTGAGACCCACCCTGGAGCTCCTCAAAAAGAAATCCTTACCCCTGACTCCTCCTGCTGAGTTGCTCTGACTAAAGCAACTGCTCTTGAATATCCCCAAGATTTAATTTCTGGCTGTTTTCTGCTCTGAGGCTCTGGAAAGTAACAGGAAGCTTCAGTGGTATTTAAGCTTTTTTAAGGTATGGTGAGCACAGCCACGCTCTGCCACAGTGGCTCATTTAACGAGACATGAGCTGCAGCCACTCTGGCATTTGACCACGGGGCCATTCCTTAGGTAAATCCTCTTTTGTGAAATCCCTGCTGCTGGCAGGATTGACGATAGGTGCTTTAAAATCAGTCTTTACTGTTAATAAGCATTTTCTTCACTGGTAAGAAGCTTCTTTTTGGTCTGTTCTGTACTTTTTGGATAAATAGCCAAGGTGGATGTGAAGAGAGAACGTCTTTCTCTCTATACACACAGAGTTCATTTGTCACCCTGAAAATTGACTCTTCAAAATGTCCATTTCATTCTGATTTTTCACTTCTTTCCTTTTTCCCATCTCTGTGTGCAAACATGTCACTTTGTCAGAGACTCCAGATGTTTGTGGTAATGGGAGACTAAATTCCTTCTCCCATAGGGAGCCAGGCATTTGGGAAACTCTGTCACTCGGCCCATTTCTGGGCTTCTAAATTAGTTTTCTTTACAAAAACCTCCCCAAAAAGCTGCCCAAGGCTTCAGAAAGCAGAGCTTTCATCACCATCCATGAATGGCTCCTCCAAAAGAGGCCCTGCCTAAAGCTTGACTGTACAACAGGACTTTTCCTTCCTTCCTCCTCCCAGATGCAAACCTGACTTGGTAAATTATTCTGAAAGATTGACACTTAAAGCAATGAACAGGGTAAAATAATGGTTGAATTCTGCTCTGTCTCCAAGAAACACTGCTGAGGAGTCTGCGACTTTACTGACACTCACTAGTGGTTCTGTTTTTAAATTAATTGAGATTTTTCTGGCCTCTTTAAATTATGATTTCTCTGGCCCTGTTTTAAGGAATAACTCAGAGGGCTGGAGGAAAAAAAAAAATCTCCTTTTAATATTTCCAAAAAAAGGGATTAAAGCTGGGGGCTGTGCTTTCACCCATGTGTAATTTCCTCGTGTCTTTCCAAGAGTTGCAGTTTACACATCTGCTGGGGGTTTGGTTTTGTCTCGTGGTTTTGCTGTTGGCAGAAACTGTTCTGTGTCTTGCTGGTCTTAGCTGCTATGTTGAAAAATGACTGTGTTCTAAACGTGTGTGCTTGTGGCTCACCCTGGGACGAGGCTGGGAGTCCCTAACAGATGTGGGAAAGCCTTTGCTGAGGGAATCAGGTTGGAGGAGCTTCCTCCAGTGCAGGTAAAGGATGCTCTGGGTGTTGTTCCAGGGGTGGATCCTGCTGTTTCCAGAGAAAGCAGGAGGGAGCAGTGCCCCTCTTGGACAGTGCAATATTGAACAGTAAGACAAATCCTGCATTTCCCCACCGTGCACATGCTGGGCTGAGCCAGTGGAAGGTCGGGCCTGAATTGTTGCCAGATCTCCATTTCCTCAAGGGAGCAAAGGCAGGAGATTTCCCAAATCCCATCCTTGGCTTCCATTCTTTATGTCTTTCCAGCCTTGGGAGCTCCCTGTACAGCTCTCTCCTGTTGGGCCTGGCTTTCCCTGCAGGAACACGTGCCAACAATGCCAGTGGAGCTGCCCACTGTGGGAATTGTGCCAGATGGAAGAAAATTTGGAGGCTGGAGTGCTGCAGACCCATCATTTCTTTCCCACCAGGGCCTGACATTTAATTTTGATTTAATGGCCCCGGAGTGCTCTGGCTCCAGGGAGAAGTTTGCTGTGCAGGGAACACCCTCAGAACAGGAGCCTGAAGTAATTTGACATTTTTATTCTGAAGCTGAACTCAGTGCTCACATATCCCTGCCTCAGATCCAGCAGCAGGGATGTCTGGAGGATCCTGAACAAGGGTGAGAAAACACTTTGGGATGACATCTCCCACCTGCAAGAGGCAGGATCTGCAGGGGGAGTGTCTCCACCCAGTATTTAAACTCTGAGGAGTATATTCTTTGGCAAATAGTCTTAAAAGCATGCTGGTGTCTTTTACCTCCTGTTAACGAATCTGCTTTTCCAAGGAAACAGTCCCCTGGACAGTTTATCCAAAGGTTTTATTGGCTGGCAAGCAATGATGCACAGATGTTGACTTTTGCTATAATTTTTGTTCTCTCCTCTCCTAAGACTTGACAGCTCATGGGTTGATGTAATTGTTTTGGATTTTTATTTTGTTTTGCATTTAACTGGATTGTAATAAGATTGACTTAAAATTATTAATTCTAATCAGTGATTAGAAATACATGTAAAGAATTTTATGTACAGTAGAGGAACAAAGTTACATGATTTTAAATAATGAAAACCCAGACTATCACCTATCCTAGAATTGGTTCTACTCAAAGAGTGACCTCTTTATTAGCATGGACTGCACTGTTCCTGTTAAATGTCTATTGCATAATTGAATTCTTTTTTGTAGATATTGTATTAAAACCCAAGTGTCTGTATAGTTAATATATAGCTGCTTATGTGTAAATGCTATTTTAAACACTAAAAAGCTTTTAATTTTATGTGATAAGCACAGTGTATGTGTTCATTTCTTTGCAGTATTTATTTATTATTTATTTCATAAATATTCCCCATTTTTGGACTTTGCAGCAGCAACAGGGGTCACTGGGACACCCTGTGACTCTGGTGAGCCTTGGTTTTGTCAGGACACCCTGAAGGGTCTGAGGGGCTCAGCTGAACTCAAAATTGGAAGGCTTTTTCAGCCTAAATTATTCTAATTTTCCAGCCTAAATAAAAAGAACAAAAAGCAGCTTGGTGAGGCAGATTCCTTCTTCCCAGCTGGTACAGATCACACAGCAAGGGGAGAGGGAAACATAATTTAAATACCATAAATCCCAGCATTTTCCAGTATGGTGGATATTAAATGGTCAGGATTTAAGTGTATATTAAATGGTCAGAATTTTGGTCAGCCTTTTCCTGCAGAACCTGGTGGAGTTAATGGAGTTAACATTTTTTTTTCCTTTCTCTATTTCTGGAATGATGATCAAAATTTATTGAATACTTCTCTGCTATGGAACCACAGCCCTGGAGCAAGGAATACTGAAAATTTCAGGTTCCCAAGCGTGGTTGTGAAGAACTCCTGCAGGCTCCAGGAACAAGAACTCTGGGCTTCAGGTCAGAGTTTTGTTTTTTTTTAATCACACTGAGGAATAATTTTGGATGGAGGTGAGCACAAAAACTGGGGACCAGTAACTTTGCAGTGAATCAAGAAGTTTTTTGTTTTCTTTATTTTTTTTTTTAGGAATGAAAATACTCACTGGTTTAGATTAATTTGCAAATTCTTTAATTGAGCTGGACTGATTAAATTCCAGTAACACACAGTGGAGAGATGGCACAAATTTTAATCTAGGGAAGAAAAGAGCAGAAATGGAAAAACTTTCAAGGAATAAAAGAGCAGAATAGTTACTTGTCAGCATGAGTGGGGAAAAGAAAAATCTTGGTGATATGACTGGATATTGACTTGGTACTGCTGGAAACAATGTGAAGTTTTTTGGTGATCTTTGCCTGTATTTTTGGGGATGGAGGAACCTCCTGCTGTGTCTTTGGAGAGTGTGATTTGCACAGAGCTCATTTCCATGTGTCTTTCTCTGATTTCCATGGAACACAAATGGAATGAGCTGGGATTTGAATGGGTAATGCCCCCTTTGTATCACACACACAACTGCTGTTACCTGTCAGAATGTTCTTTTTACTTCTCTTTTATTGGATATATTTGAAAATTCTTACAAGGCTTGGGAAAGGATTCCTGGATATATCTCTGGAGCTGTTCATTAATAAGAAAGGCAAATTACCAGAAGTGTTTACAGGGAAGTGGTGTTGGTGAGGCTCACATTGCCAGACTTGAGAGACTGCTGTAAAATACCATTTCTGGAGTATTTCATTACTTGAACCTAATTTTGGCTTCTTTTTGGGGCTGAAAGGTGTTTCCAGAGAGGATGAAGGCTGCTCCTCTGGAGTTCAGCTGCTGAGCCCTATGCTTTCACAGCTCTAGTTCATATGTGATTGTGCCTGGGGCCATACAGTGCTCATAAACATGATTTTCTCCTTAAAATCCAGCTTCTGCTGATGACAGGTGACAGAGGGTGTGTTTTATTGTCTGTTCACCGAGTCCTCTTCTGGCTCCTCCTCAGCGGGGTTCTGGCAATAATCCCCTGTGTTCAGATCAGGCCTGAACACCATGATGAAGCATTTGGGCACGAAGTAGCTGGCCAAGATCCCCAGGGTGGTGGCCTGGATGGTGCAAATCTGTGTGACAGCCCTGAGGACTGTCCTCAGCGTGGCAAAAACCACCACAAAGAAGATCCAGATGATGAAATAAATGAGGGTGGCAAAAGTGATGCCCCTGGCCACGTTGTACCTCCTGGCCGGGGTTTGCACCATGAAGGTGCACAGGAAGCAGGCGAAGGCCAGGCAGCTGTTGTAGCCGTGCAGGAGGGCAAAGGCAGCCCAGGACTGGGTGCCACACACCAGCACCACCTCGCTGGGCAGGGATTTGTAGTCGGCCACCAAGTAATCGGGGCCTAGGCGGAGGTGGCAGAAGCAGAGCAGCGCCTGGGTGAGGAGGGACGCGGCCACCAGCAGCCAGGCCCTGCCGTGGGTCACCCAGCGCAGCAGCCTGGGAGCGCAGCGGGGGAATTCTGTCAGCAGGCTGATCTCCAGGGCCTTGGGGACGAAGGTGGAGAAGCAGCCGTTGAGACACAGGGCGTAGGAGAGCTGCTGCACCGCGCACAGCCCGGCGCTGGGCCTGCCCACGTACAGGCAGCAGCTGAGGCTCTGCAGCAGCAGCCAGAGCAGGGCAAAGAGGTTCCTGCCACCCCCTGCCACCTGCACCAGGGGGGTCTGCAGGTGTTTGAGGAACAGCAGCGCTGTCAAGCAGCTCAGGGCCGCCGTCAGGGCCATCAGTGTCATCAAGGCCACGGCCATGGGCTCGTCCCAGAAGAGGAACCTCTCGGTGCGCTCGTGGCACCGCGTGCTGCGGGCCGGGGCCCACTGGTGCTGTGGGCATGGGGAGCAGCTGGTGCTGTCTGCAGAGAGAGCCTGGTGAGCACCCCACAGGACCTGCCACCACTGGCAGGCCTTGGGGGTGGATCACACAGGGATTAGGTGGTGTTTCAGGGGGTGTTTTGCCTGGTTCCCTCCCTCCAAGGTGTGCTGGATCTCCAAAGCTTGTGGTAGTTCACCCTCTACTTTCCCACCCTCCTCCCTTGTATTTCTTGCCGCTGTTTCCCTTGCCCAGCAATCCCAAAATTTTATCCATTCTAGGCATACCCCCAGCATTCTATGATACCCCTCTCTCCTACCTCTGCAGATAAAATGTCCTTATTCCTTCCCTCTGGGCCCAAGAGTGAAGAGCAGAACAGAGGGGAACACCTGACAGTGCTTATGGAGGAGAGCTCCCAGCTCATCATCACCTCAGCCAGGAGACAGTTAAATACAGTTAAAGCCTTTAAATTCCCCAGACCTCACCTGTACTGCTCCAGAAGGTGTTTTCTGAACAGTCTGTACAGTCATAGCAGCAGAGATTGAATCCTTTTATTCTTCTGAATTGTCCTGGTTGGCAGCGTCTGAAGCACTCAGACGTGGGCTCCTGGCAAAGGCAGGAATGAACATCAGCCAGGCACCTCCAGGAGAATCGTAATCTCAAACAAGTAAGAAGAAATTGTGCCATTGTTACCTTCTTATCTGCAGTGTGGAACTGGATCTGGGACTTCTGGATGTACAGGGACTGGTCATAGTCCCCCACGGGCAGGTAGGTCAGGGTGCCATCCCTCCAGGCCCAGAAGATGAGTTTATACCCAGTGTTTGTGCCATGGGATTGATCAAACCTGAAGCTCTGGCCATTCACCTCGAACGGGAGGGTGTTCATGAAGTGCAGCAGCTGGGGAGGAAATGAAATCAAAATAGATTTTGGTACGGTTGTTCTTTGGAGGATGGTAATTCTGCCAGCTACAATCAGTTGTCCCTTTGGTGGGCTAAGATTGTGACAGTCTGTCTGTGATGTGACAAAAACCTGCCATTTGGCCCTCACATCTTTCCTCACCTGCCAGGACCTGATGGGTGTTTTGGGACAGCCTTCAGAGGTACAGCCCAGGGCTCTGTGCAGAGCGTGGGCCACGCTGTACACAGCCATGTGCACCGGCTGCACCATGGTCACCTTGAGCAGGGGCCAGATGTCCCCAAGGGTGACATGGTCACACTGCTGGCAGTGTGTGTCCAGCACCTCAGTGTTCATGAGGCGGCTCAGCTCCCGGGACTGCTGGCAAAATTTCTCTTGCTCAACAGAGCTGAAGAGCTCAGCCACGTACTCCCGGAAGCCAGGGACTGTCCCTGTTCTCGAGACAAAGCCCAGCACTGTCCCGATGCTCTGGATGTTGGGCGTGTAGGCGGCGACGTCCGACAGCATCCAGGCCTCGGTGCCAATCCAGACCTTCTTGCCCAGCCCCATCCTGATGCTGTGTTCCAGTAGGGCCTGGGCAGGCAGGCTGTAGGCAAACAGCACGACCACGTTGACTTTGGTGCTGTTAATTAATTTAACGGTGTCTTCCAGCTGCTTTCTGGCGTTGGGCTCAGCCAGGTCTGTGGGGATGAACCCCTCGAAGGCAATGCAGATGTTGTCATTGCCAGCCATGCTCAGGAAGAGAGCCTGGGCACCCCGGCCGTACTCATCGTCGCTGCCCACTGTGGCAATCCAGTTCCAGCCAAACCGGTTGAGCAGCATCACCACAGCTTCCACCAGGTTCTTGTCGCTGGGGACGGTGCGGTAGAAGGACGGGTACAGCTCCGTGTTGCTCAGGGTCTCACTGCTGGCTCCGTAGCTCACCTGCCCATGGAACAGAGAGGAAGGGAGGAAAACATGGAAGTGGCCACAGCCCAGGTCACTCAGCTCTCTTCTTTAGTTTTAGCACATTAAATTTTCCAAAATCATGGTCAGGGTTGGCGGTAAAAGAATCCCAAGGGATTCACTGAGAGAGCCATAAAGTGTCTCCTTTGTGTCTCTCATCACTATGAAACGATAATTAACTAATTTCTACACAGGGTGACACACTCAAGATTGTTATTTCTTAGCTCGGTGTTAAATTTCCCTGACCATGAGAGCTCTGTTGTGGTAACTGGGTATTTAATCACAGATGTATTAACAAAGGATCCTCTAGGAGCTGCGTTATTCCCATTTGACATGGATCAGAGTGGTCTGAGTTGTGTCCTCTCAGAGAAATGAAACACTGGAGTGTGCCCAGGAGGGCAGTTACTGACCCACCCAAGAGCACTGAAGAAATCTGTGACAGAAGGAAGACTGGAATCTGCTTTACCACCAAACCCTTCCCCACTAAAAAGGAAGAAAATTCATAAAAGGCTTGGGAAAGGATTCCTGGATGTATCTCTGGAGCTGTTATTTAAGAAGAAAGGGAAATTACCAGGCATGCTTACCGGGAAGTGGTCTGAGTGAGGCTTCTGGCTCACACTGAGACATTAATATAAAGTATCGATTCTGGGGGTTGTTTCATTACCTGAACCAAAAAGGAAGAATTCCTGCCTCTCCAGAGATGTTTTTACCTGCGGGATCAAGAAGGAGCTGAAGAGCTTGGCTGTGAGCAGGCAGAGATCTGACTTGTGGGGCCCAATGATGGCAGTGATGCGGGGCTGGTACTCAGTGTAGTTGCAGAGAATCCCGATCCCTGTGGTGCCATTCCGGGTCAGGAACAGCAGGCTGGGCTGCAGGGTCACCAGGGGCTCAAAGCAGGTGTCATACATGTCGTATCCCAGCCTTATTCCTGGCAGGAGGGAGCTGGAATTGTTGATCTGGTCGATGGCGAACCTCATCCCGAGAGCCCAGATCAGCCCATCCATGAATAACCTGGGGGCAGAGGGGACAGGAGTGACGTGGCCTGGCAGTGCTGTCCCCTGTCACCTCCTCTGACATTTTGGCATCCACGTGGCCAAGCAAGACATTCCTGCTGTTGCCAGCAGAGCATCCCTGGACCAACTCATGAGTTTTTTGCTCTGACAGCATCTTCCCAGTTCACTTAATCTTTTCTGCCAGCAAAAATATCCCTGGAGCATCCCAGGAGAAGGAACAGAGGTAGAGACCAGTTTAGTTGTGAGAGCCAAGACTTTGTGTCCTTCACCCACTAAGCCAAAGATTCCCAAAGTGCTAATTCAGGAGACTGATCATGATTGAAATGTGGGATTTTTCCTGGGGTTTTCCTTCTCTGTGTATCCCAGCACACTGAGCACATTCCCCGCCCCAGGAATGTGAAGATGGAAGGATTTTGGACGCTGCTGTCTTGAGCTTTGCTGCTGCCAGAGCAGGAGGAGGACACAAGCCTGGCTTCTTGTTCTCCTCACCTAAAACTGTGGGTAGGTGGTGATGTGCTGGTGGGAACCAGCCTGGTGTAACTGAGGAGGAAATGCTGCTCATACCCACAAACCCAACTGATTTTGGTTCCTGCTCTGCCCTGTGCCTGCTGCTGAGTGTCCTTTGTCCTCCTAAAAAGCAACAGCACCATCCCAAAATGTGATCTACCTATCAGTGTAGAACACAAAAGCATTTCCATTTTGGCACCAGTTGATGTCCCAATGTGCAAACTCTTCTCTGTCCCATCCCACCTCCAGCAGAACCACTTCATTTTCCCTTTTTTTCCCAGATCCTAGCCCTGCTCTTACCTCTCACAGCGCAGCAGGGTGGGCTCTGAGCGAGCCGTCAGGTTCACGGTGTCCTTCCCAAAGGGGAACAAACCCCCCAGGATAAAATCCCCCGGCCTCCTGAACTGAGCTGATAGACACGAGGGGCTGAGGGAGGCAGCACAGCCAAAGCTCACGCACAGCCAAAGCCCAGGGAGCTTCATTTTGGGAGAAAAGGGATCTGGGAAAAGGAAGGGGAGCAGGGAATCCAGGCTCAGCTGTTCCTGGGAAGTGTCTTTAAATAGAGCTCGGAGGGATTGAAGTAATGGGGAGGAATTTGTTTAGCAAAATGCATTAAATTAAATTTAGTGGGCAATAATCAAATACCCTCTTCTGAGGGCGCTTAGGTGCAAACCACTGCTCTCATCTTGATTCCCTTTACTTAGTGAGTACCCTTTACTCAGAGTGATTTACAAATCATTGTCATAGCTGTGGAAATTTGGGGTCCTCTGGGGAGAGGTGATAAAACCCAGGTGCCCCACTCTAAATCTGGTAAAAGACTTACACAACAGTAATTTTAATCTATTTATTTTTTAAATTTGAGGTCACCTCATCATGGAAATAACCAAATCTTCCTCAGGGCATGGCAGGAATTTGCCTGGAGAGGCCATTCCCAGGTCACAAGGTTGGTGAGCTGTCACTCAGCTGTAATGATATTCTTTAGGAAGTTATTACTGATAAAATTTTTTTTGCCCTCACACTGAGCTGGGACATTAATTTCAGTTTGAAAACTTAAATCCAAGTTCACAGCATGGTAATTTAGGTTTCATTACTGTATTTTTAATGTCCAGGGTTGGATTTTAGGAGAACTCTGAATGAAAAGTTCAATTTCCTGCATTTTCTACTGTACCAGAAAACTACTTTTGCTGCCAAAGCAATGCTCAAAGGCTGGAATATTTTCCTTGCAGGAAGAGAAGCAGATACAGAGATCTAAATACAAGAATACTTCAGGGAAGCACTGTCGCCCTGAAAACTCAGCTTCTGAGCTTGCTAACATAGTTTTCTAAGGACTTTCCCAGGACAGTAACTGTAAACATAGATATGTGTACATTCTTTCTGTTACACGTCTTGTGACGGGCATCTCTCATGGCAAAGTGTTATCCTGACCATCCAATCCCTGGCCGTGGACAGAAGCCTATAAATCCTGGGAGGAAAAATAAACTCTCTCTTCACCACACCTTGAGCTGTGTCCGTGTGATCTATTCCTCTTCAGCGGCAACATCTGGGGAACCCTGACGTGTGTTGCAGGTGACGGTCACAGGGTACTATCTGGCCTGTGGCTATGGCTGTTTTTGGGCTCTCTCCTACAGAGGGCCTGGTTATGGAACTAGGGTGTGCGGTGTTTGATCAGAAACGGGTTGATGTTAAGGATGCTGACTTTCAGTGATTGTATGAGTATGGGAGAATTGAGGGGTTTTTTCCTGTGGTTGAGGAGATTTTTTCAAAGTCGTCTTGGGACACTTTAGGCGATTCCCTGCTCGAGGCTCTGCTGGTCAGTTATGAGCCCCGGCTGGTCCGGCTGCTGGGGATCTGGCGAAGATGCGGCGGTGTTCTGAGGAGCTGCGCGTCCTCTTCTGCCGGATCGAGAGCTGCTTCCTCTGCTCTGGGTGAGAGGTCTGGCTCTGGCTCCGGCTGTGGGAGGAGGGCAGGGCTCTCCCTCTCCCCCAGTGGCATGGAGCCGGGGGGCAGCTGTGTCTCGGGTCCCGAGCTCGGCTCCCCCGGGATCGCCGGGGTCCCCAGCAGGTTGAACGGGGGCACCGCGGGACCGGTGGGCGCGACCCCGCCTTGGCCGGTGCCCCGGAGGTGTAAGCCTGAGGCGGGGTTGGATCCTTGCCAGCGAGCCGTCGGGGGCGCCGCGGACCCGGGGGGCGTAACGCCACCTTGGCCAGCGCCCCGGAGGTGTAGGCCCAGGGCGGGGTCGCCTCCTCCGTGTGCCCTCGAGGCGCAGACCGATGAGGGGTTGCCTGAACCGGGGGCGGTGCCGGCCCTGGGGGATACCTCAGGGTCAGTCCCATGTTCCTGCTGTGGCTGGGCTGTGCCCTGCCCCGCGGTGGGGGACGGGACGGGCCCAGGCTCTGCGCCGGCAGCCGCGCATGCTGTTCCAGTGGAGGGGCGGCCAGCGCCGCTTTTTGGACCTCTCGCCCCTGAAGAAACACTGTTAGGGGCGATTCCGAGCGCTGATCCCCCCGCGCCGGATTCGTGGGGCGTGGGGATGAGTGCTGCGAGTGGTGCAGACGCCGGGCCGGGTTCTGCCGGCCCAATGCTGCCGGATTCCCCTCCTGCGAGCCTGGGTTGTTCCCTGGCATTGGAGCAGGACGGTGCCGCGGCTCTGCGGGCTGTGCCTCTACCTACGCCTCGGTCCCCCCCGGCGCTGGAGGCCGTGCCGAGCTGCCTCC